CCCCCCCCCCCCCCCAATTATCGAGCTGGCGGCGCCACTGAATATACAGTATGTAACACATAATAAAACAAGTTGGTTAACATATTATAATAAGTACCGATACTGTATGTAATTATTGTCACTTGTCTGAGCTGTTGGAATCCCTGTCGCTGCCTTAATAAATACCTGTCCAATAATAAGCCCATGAGCTAGTACACAGAGGGGCTTATATTTGGGAGGAGGCTTATATTTGGAATGGCCTGAGTGTTAGTGAATATGGTGGGTGGGCTTATACACAGGGGGGCTTATATTTTGGGTTGCTTATATTCAGAGGTCTAATATATCTAAACTGTTGCTTGTAAATGCAAATGGTAGCATTGGGTTTGGCAAACTATTAGTCCATGTCTCACAAAAAGCTACCATTTACAATTCTACCAACAACAAAGATACAAATAATCCAATTAGCCACGTACAAAAACAGTGCAATACAATGACATTATTATACGTTTTATGTATAATGCAACAACATGTACACTACATTAAATACTATTTTATGATTTTTAATAATAAAATTTTACTTTTAATTTCACTTTTATATATATTTATAGATAAATCGATCAATATTTCAAACCTTGCAATTGTATATATGGTGGTTTCCTTCAACGGCACGGCGGCTCAAACACACATCTAAAGTATCGTATTTACTGCAAACATTCTGCGCCAAGAGATTTTTCTTGTCTGAAGTGAAATCTGCTTTTAGTTTTGTCAAAATCTCGACTGACACTCCTTTGTTTGACGCCATTTTGCTTTCTGTTTTAAAGAATTTGATGTTTTGATTTGCGACACTACGGCTCATGCTCAGAACCAAATAAGGAAAGCAAAAGTTACCAAACTAGAGGAAAACCTAAGGCGGACCTCCAAGAACACAACCAGTTTATCAGCTTTACAATTGGCTGAATTTTGTAAACGCTGATTGGCTAGAAATACAACCTTTGCAAAAAATCTGCGAGAAGCCAAATAAAATGTTGAAAATGAAAATTGAGTAACAATGGACATCTATCATAAGTCTATCACACAAAACTTTATTTGATATATTCTTTTATTCGCCTTTATTGGAAAACTCTCCAAACTAAATATAAAAATTTACAACTACAAAATGCGTGAAGTTCTGGTATACAAGTTTTGCACTATGTTTTGCTATTCCCATGCATGCAGCTAGCTATTTATTTTCCATAACAGTTTATGAATGCGTGAGCATCAAGGGTCAAGTTTATCAAGATCGATTAAAATGCTGGGGCACCTCTTATTAGGCTGATGCGATATATCGATGACCATCGATATTTTCGATATTTCAATAATATCGATAATCGATTTTTCGCATATCCAAAATATCGAAAGTTTTTACTAGACAACTTTATCTTCTTTTTATCGGCAATTATTGTCCGGAAATACGTTTCTCAAGCGGAAAACAAACTTTAAAAGTATGTTCAGTTCTTTATCTGTAAAATTGTGCTAAGATGAAGAGATTTTAGATGGTACGCCAAAGAGAAAATTATGTCTGAAGTTCAGTAAGTTTTGCTTATGTTGCTGTATAAATATGACGTCAATTTTACAGCATCAATATAAAATTGTACTTAAATTGACAATATTTAACTATTATTTTGTGTTTCTCAAACGTGTAACTGTGTAAAGTACAAAATAAAGCTAAAACAAAGTAATTTTGAGAGGAACGCCAAAAGGTTCCTAGGTTTTGAACACTTTTCATCGCAAATACACGACACCGAAAAAAATTGCCTCTTAATTAAACATTCATAAACTGTTGTAAATAAATATTTTAATGTTTGACTACCTTCGTGCACCTTTGTTTTTGCTGCTTGTGATACGGTATACATGCCAGTTGACTAAACTACGTTTCCTAATGTACATAATTCGGTATAGTCGATATTCTTTTCAATATCGCATCAGTCTAACTATATAGTCTGTCAAGATATGATGGTCTGGCAGCGCGGCAAACTTCAAAGCCTGAAAATAGAAGACCTTTGTTTGGTGTTGAACTGTACCACAGAATAAAGATCCATGCAGAAGGGCCACTTACGTTGGGAGCTTTGAAGTTTCTGTCCTCGCGCATGTCGCATTACGCATGTTGGCCGCCATTTTCCTAGCCAGTCAATGACATTTCCTGGCCAATAAACACGCCGTACTGGCTGGCTGCTCCGCCTTCTGACCAGTAAACTGCATATTTTTGCATAAAAAAACGAGGACATATTGCACCGCTGAGTGGCCCTTCTGTTATTGATCTTTATTCTGTGACTATACCTTACTGTGCACAAATCCTTTGTCTCAACTTAATTAAATATTATTCATCGTGGTTGCACGTTCGTCTCAGCTATATCCATATTGGACGGTGATGAAATTAACGTGCACAAATTAACATAAACTCCGACAAAAACATCAAACGATGACTTATGTTTAGTTTTTCAGACCATCATACCGTGATAGACTATGATCTAACCTCTATACACTTGCTAGGTAAGTTGTAAGAACATTTTGTGATAGACAATCGTAAGAACGCATGATTTTGAAATTTCTTGGTCTGGTTTAATGTTTATTGTCCCTGTTTCTGTCTGTTCATTTCCTCTTGCATTTTCGCGATCATCTCTTGCATACGAAGCAACTGCGAAAGAAAAATGAGATGGAATTATTTGTTTTGTTTTTGACAGCTTTAATTTGGCACGTAGATAACTTGACAATATTGTACATAACTGACATAGATAATTACATTGAACAAGAATATGGAGAATATATAGTAACTATAGAACTAGGTGCCGAACGTGGTGAAACACAAACGACACTAGCTCAATTGAACATCTCTTTACCTCGGCTTCCTTTTCTCGAAGTTGTTTATCTTTCTCAGAAAGTGAAATATCCGCATCACTGCCGTTGCTCTGGGAACTACTGTAAAAACAAACAAAGAATATTATTAAGGACATTAGTAGATCCCTCAGTGGCGTAACGCTCATTGGAATGGGTTAGTTCAAAAATTAAGGGGCCCCGACAGC